GTTTTGATACTTTACTGCAAGTAGATGTTTTTGGAACACAATGTCCAAATTGAGAGACTTTATTCCCAAAATTACATCCTAGATAAGAGCCACACTGGCTGATTTCTGTCTGGCTTGGACAAAGCTCCCACATCCCCCTTAAGAGTCCAGAGCACTCTAATTAAGACTGTGGGTAGTGAGTTGTCTTTTTATAGCGTGTGAAGTCCATAAAGCAAAGCCGTTTCTACAGCTGCCCACTAAACCTCACACCCCTTTAAGGGCACGGTGAGATCTTTCCCAAAGCTTTGTAATGTTCCTGTTCCAAGGGTTTTAGTGTCAGTGACAGATGGCCAACTGAGAGCACAAGGAAGAGCAGCTCTTAACTTATCCATAAAGTTTGAGCTGGCACAAGGAGAAGTATTAAAAAATCCTCATAGTTACATGTCTCCCTGAAGAATGAAGGTCTCCATTCCTCAGTGTCCTTAAGCCACAGGGAAAGGGAAGGGTTTGTGGCAGGCAGGGCTGCAAAGCCCAGTATAAACTTACTAAATAAATCAAAATCTTGACTCTCTGTTAAAACTGAAACACTGAACTGAATTCAGATACATGGAAATGAGTCGCCAACTCTTTTTATTTCTGGAAATAATCCAGAGCTCCCTTCTGCACTTCTGGGGTCTTCAAGCATTTGAGGCTGCTCTCATGCTGCCCTCTCCACCTCTGAGCTACCTCATCAGCAGAAAAGGGATCTCATTTGTTCTTGCTCTGCCTCTGCAAGCAGAGATCAGCTCTGGCGCAGCGGCGCAGGCTCCTGGAGCGGGAGCAGCAGCTGTGAGGGGCACAGCTCTCACCATCACCACTCCTGCCCCTGGGCCTCATCAGTCCAAGCACAGCGGGAGAACTCCCTGGGAGTGGGGCAGGGTCTGCTGGGACTGCCCGAGGGCTCCTCTGCTGCCATCCCAGCACAGCCCGGAGAGTGGGAGCGCTGGATCCCAGGGATGTGGAATTTCCAGTTAACCTGGGGGGCAGAAAATCACCTGGCCCAAGGACAAAGCTCCCGTTCCCTTGGCTCCTTTGCTTGGCAAACTCTGTCATGTCCTGACTGACATGCGGATCTTTCGGTTCCCACAGCCTTCACCAAAACAAGCCAACGCCTTGTGGGGAATAAGAGAATCCCAGAAATTATAGAAAGGCTTGGGCTGGAAAAGACAGAATGGTTTGGGTTCACAGGGACCTTAACCAGCCTCATTCCAACCTCCAGCCATGGGCAGGGATGTCAATAATATGGAGATAAATTTCAGCCTTCCTCTAGAAATGCTAAAATAATTTGTCAGCTGGTTTAGATGGCTCTGTGTGAACACTCTGTGCCCATCAGCACTCACCACTCTGCTAGTTCTTGTGTCATTCACAATTTTTTGCTGCAGTGATTCCATATTTACTCCTATATCAGTAATGTAAATATTTATAGGAGTAAGTGAAATAGCAGAAAGCCACCAGAAATACATTTGATGTTTGTTCCACATTGACAGCTGCTTTTTGAGATCTGTCATTTAGGTTTTATTCAATTATTAATACATGTTGTTGATAATTGTATAGTGCTGATTTTTTAATCAGAATATCCTTCAGTACTGAATCAAACATGTCAAAAAATTTATTTTGTTTGCACAGCTACTCTAATAGAACTTGCAACTAAATCTGTGATTTCATCACAGAATGAAATCAGGTTTGTATAGAATGAACAATTTCTTGTGAAATGCTAAACCTTATTTTATTATTTTGATTTTTCATTGACTGAATCCAAATAGTGCCATAACTTACTGGTTTTCCTGTTGAAGTGAATGACATCTTTTTCAAAATCTGCACAGGATTGTGAAAACATTCAAGTTTCTCTTTGGTTTTTCTTAAAAGACATTTTACAGTATTTTCTTAAAGAGATTTTTGAGAACTTGCAACCGAGGCACCCAGAAGAGTGATTTGGCTGCTGGGCTGGCACTGCAAGAAAGCCCAGGGGGAAGAAGGAATGTCTGAGTCATCCTCCAAACTCCCTTTTCCAGGTCTCCAGCACAAATCAGAGAGCAGCAGGGAATTGTTCCCAGGCTGCTCCAGCGCAGGCAGAGATTGATTTGAAGCTGCAGGATGTTCCAGAGGCCTTGTGCTCTGCACAGGGCAGCTCAGGAGAGACAGGGACTCCCCTCTGCTCCCAAGGCAGGGAATTAAGTGTTGGATACTGAGCATGAGCAGCAGAGCAGCTTTGGCTTCTCTCCCCTGCTCCCCTCACTCTTGCCCTGCTCACAAAGGAATATGATTAAGATGTGAGTTGTTTAGATCCATTTTTAATATCTCCTGATCAAAAGTGGAAGCTTAAGGAGCATGTAAGGAATGACTTTGATATTAAAGAGACAGAAAGAAGAACAAATAGTTTGATTTGCTTCTTGTCTTTCTTGGCTTGGGAATTTGAAGCAGATGTTCGTATGCGAACACAAAAAACCCATATTCCATCCAAGTCTGAGCACAAATTGCCTGGATCAGAGGGAAAATGTCTGGAGGGGGATGCACCAGGGTGCTGCCTGCTGGGAAGGGTGCAGGGATGGCACAGGCAACAACCTCTGGGAATGGTCTGAATTGTGGGACCAAAAAATGAGGGAAGAAATCCTTAAAATTGAATAAAATACTTGCAGTAAGACCTCCTCATAAAACAAGTGTAAGTGTGTTATTGCAGTGTATCCATGGATGTGAAAACTGGGAAAAATGCAGATTGAGTATTACAGTAAGATTTTAATGGAGATCTTCAGAGACAAAGAAGGATGCAATGGTAAAAGAAAGGGGCTGATTTCTGCATCTTGAACTGATGAGAGCATGGGGTGGCACATATGAAACCTCTGATTAGTCATAAATAGGAGAAACAGACACTCCATGTCATCCAAATTCTAAAGGGCTGCAATGTCAGATTTTCAAGAGGGTTTTGATTCATTTTGGTCTGTGCACGTAATGAGGAATGAGAGCTAAATTGTAGAAGCCACAGCCAGGCACAGGAGAGAACCCAATCAGCACAGAATCAAGCAGGAGGGTGTGGGATGGTTCACTTTAATCCATCACCTGAGGGAAATGGCCCGCTGCAGCAACTACACCAACCTTCTCCCTACCCCACAAAGAGGCACTTTGCTCTCCAGCACAACTCCTGCTCTCCAGGCTGACCCCAAACCTCAGGAAGAGCCAACCACTCTCCTCAGTACTGCCAGGAAGAGAAGGGATGTGCACACAGGCAGAGAACTTCCCAAGGGTTGTCCTGCACCACCCCCTTCAACATAGAACCATCACAGATGGACATTATCACTGATTCCAGTGTTTCCTATGGGTTCATGATGAATTAAATGCTTTTTAGATATTTAATCTCCACCTCTTTTACAAGGACCTCAGGAATACCCCTAACTGTTCACGATGAAGATGGGAAAAGAAGGGCATGAGTATTAACAAAGAAAAAGACTTCAGGCTTGGTTCTAAATCTGGGATATTTGATCCTACAGCAAGACAGTCCTTGAGCTCTTACCATTTAAAGCCAGATCCAGAGTGTGCAGGCATGAGTTCCACATGTACATATAGGCATTCCAGTGGATTTATGGAGACATTGCCAGTTATTTCTCTGGAAGCCAAACTGTGTCACAGGGACTTGTGTACCTCACAGGTTCCAAGCACAACTGAGGTCCTTCCCCTTGGAGAGTTCTAGCCACAGCAATTGCCTTCACCACCATGTTGTGTTATAGGGCAAATATGCTTCCATTTTTGCTTCTATGTGTTCTGCATGTTCAGCTTTTATGTAGGAAATTAAAATATTTCAGAATGTCTCTCTATGCTTAGATTTGTATTGGTAGTGCAGTATTTACCTTGCATTAATTGAGCATAAACTGAATGCAAAATCTGGCGCTTCATACAATGGGATCATTTTGGCACTGGGCCCAGACAAGAACAAAAAAACAATTGTCTGAATTTAATCAGTTGGTGTTACTTGGCAGTGCAAGAAGTCTTTATGCAGGTATTTATTTGTCCCAGCAATAACAAGAATATTGGAATTTATATCCAGGAGATAAGCAAGTACCTTGTCACTCAAGCACAACTAACAAGGGAATTGCTATTTGGTGCAGACATGTAAATGCCAAATGCTTAGTCTGGTTATTATTGTAAATTCCATTTTTACAACCTCTTGTTTTTAAAATGGTCTCTTAATTGATTTTTAATTATATTTTTCAATGACATTTAACTACACGTGCTTTGTAAATAAACCCACACACATCCCAAAATATATTAAAGGAGCAAATACCGACACAGTTGAGGTTCTCTTTTCCCTGCCTGCTCTGAGTGCTCCCAGTAGATGTTTTGCATAAGGAAAAGAGATCAAAGTGGTTCTGGGTAGAAGGGGATGCAGTTCTACCATAGGCAGCTGATGCCAGAAGATTTGGCCCTCAGAGTGTTACTGTACACAACAGAATGAAGGGGATGAAGCATAAAGTGAGCCAGAACAGCCAATCCTGTGCCCTGTGATTTACCCAAGCTGAAATGTGGCCAGGACATACTGACCTAGAGCTGGTTTAGTGTAAAACTCCATGAGGTCTTTAGTGATCAGAAGAGGCTTTAACATCTCTTTAACCTCAGAATAGCATATTAAGGGAGAAGCAGAAGGAGTCTCGTGTCTCCAGCTGGTGTTTTGGAGGTGTCAAATAGCCCAGCTGAGCACCAGGCAGGCCTGTGGTACGACGTGCAGCATTTAAGGACATGGAACTATAAATTGCATCCATCCAGCTGCCTAAAGCACAGCTTTGGGCTGAATTTAAAAATCCAACCCAGTTAACAGAAACACTGCATGAAACTACTGAATTTCCTTGAGATTCTGCCTCAGCATCCCTCAGGTTTGGTGTCCAGCGCATTATGTGCCATTCAAGAGAGAAACCATGCCCAGGGACAGGCTGGCAGCAGCTCCCTCAGATCCCACCACCCTGCAGGAGCCATTGGATTTGTTGGAAACCACTCACTGTTGTAGTTGCTGCTTCCGCCAGTCTCTGCCGAAGAGGTGCTGGACTCCCCCAGCCCATCAGAGGTGGCCAAATCTTATGGAAAATCAAAATAATAACTTGAAAATACCACTTCCCATGCATTCCTGAAAACACTGTATAACCTTGATGAAGTCAGCAGGATAACAACAGGTGAGGACTTGCACCTTTTTCACTCAAACTTGCATTTCTGACATTTCCCACATACCTTTCCCACGGCCAGGATGTCACATTGTTATTAGCAGGGCTGTAATTTCATTAATGGATACAAAGAAATGGAAAACACTGGAAATACAGAATTTAGTATTTATCCACTTTCCAAGCTTAGCAATTATGGCAGAGGCACAGTGCTTTTGTTGGGGAAGGACCTGATTCCTTTATGCTGTGGCACTCATAAAACCCCCAGGGCTGGGGAATGACTCTATTGATCTTGGGTAAGATTCACTCCTGTGCAGAGATCCAGCACAAGCCAGCATTTCCCATAAATTTTGTTTAAGCCCCATCCTGTGGAATAAAGCAGCACGCAAATCACACATTACTGGGACAATGATGCTTTGTTCCTAAATATTGCTACTCCTGAGGAGACTACAAAATGCTTTCAGAGGCTGTCAGAAATGAGATGTGACTTGCCAAAGGTCAGCCAGCAGGGAGCAGAGGAGCTGGGACACATCCAGGTGCCAGAGCAGAGATCTCTGTCCTGTCCTGTGCCCTTCCCCATGGTACCCACACGCAGTGACAGCTTCTGCCCCCCAGAATGTCTTATCAAAAATGCCTCGTGTAAAGTCTGCCTGCACAATGGGAGCTGAGTGTTCCTCACAAGCTGCATTCATTAATTCAGGCTGTTTATTTTAATTTCAATGAAACCTGATTTAATTAGGTGTTGTATGTGTTCTGCATAGATGACTAAATCTCTTCTGATTTTTTTTTCAGTGGGTACATTTCACCTGCTCTTTTTTTTTTTGCAGTGCTAGCTTTTGCTCACCCATACCTCCTCCTATGGGATCTGAAGAAAAAAAAATCCAACTGGCATCCCTTTCCACTCCTTAATGAAAGCAGGGTTCAGTTCCTGCCATAAGGTGAAGACTGGTAAAACATTGCTGACAGTTTAAAAACTTTCAGAACACAGAAATTAAGCAAAAGGAATTGGAAATCTCAGGGACAGATTCCAGCAGACAAAAATGCACACTCAGTTCATTAACTGACTCTGAAGAATTGTGAGTTCTATGTTTCATATGTGTCACAAACTCTTAAGAACAGCAAGTGTTTGTTAATGGATTTCTGGGGGGAAAAGAAGCTAAACCAAGTGGCAAAGTTCTCTGTGCTTCTGTGTCTCAGCAAAACTGGCTGTAAAATAGAGTAAACTGTGGATGTATTTTAGGGAGCTACAAGTAAAGTTTCAGATTAATCCATTTCTGAACTTGTGCTGTTGCTCAAAACAGTAATTGGAAAACAATCCTGGTACGGTTTCATGCAGCAAGGATAAAAATCCTTCCTTCAGCACAAGTCAGTCCTCTTATTTCCTGGGGAAGGGAACAAATGTTCCTCTGGGGATCCAATAATTGTTTGTTGTTTCTTTTTAAGCAAACATATATGCACCTGTACTTATGAATAGTTATGTTTTCATTTGGCCATAAAGTGCCCAAGTAGTCCTTTAAGCATATAATTCCTCACCTAATTGCACCGCCCTGAGTATTCAGGGACAAATTGTAATTACAAGTGCAGGTTCATTGTGCACGGACAGTCTCTGCTTTAGTATTTTTAACTGCCAAAACACAAATGGTTTCAGATTATAAGAATCCCACTGCTTCCCATTTTACATGAGCACAAGACAAATTTTATAACAAATCTTTAAAGGATCTTGGAATTCAGGCTGGCCCAGCAGCAGGTGCTGTGAGAAATCCCCCTCTCTTCAGACACATGAAGTGAGAGAAATGCAAGGTAGACCAAAAGGAATCAATTTGTCACAACCACTACAAGAGAGCTGGAGCTTCTGTTTTCATTTCTCATACCTGAACTGGCAAAGCACTTCAGCAGTGACATTTATTGATCATGTAGCCTCAAAACAAAGCTGGGCAAGTGCAGAGCCTGGATAGGCGAGAGGTATGCATTAAATACAACAGGGAAGTTCCAAAATTACTTTGAATGGCAGAAAAGAAAGAGAAATCCCGTTTATAGAGCTGGCAAGGACGGGAAGCATGCAGCCACTCTTACCAGCAAGGAAGTGTTGGGATTTTGGTATTTCATGGCTTTTCCTGTCATGTTTGATCACTGTTTTAGATGCAGAGGGGACATTGTGCCTGTTAATGTCACTGGCCTCAATCATGCAATCCTTAATCAAGCAGAAATCCCTGCAGCTTTGCCCATAAAAGAATTACAGACTTAGTTATAGGTTTTCTGGTACAGATTTGACCCCTGCTGCCTCCCTGCTGCAATAAAACTCCTAAACCCTTTTGGATCATTACTCCTACAACTTGCCTGAGGGCACAGGGGGTGCAGCATCCATGGGGCTGTTTTCTGGTTTAATCCAAGGGCTGGGGATCCAGCCAGTGACTGCCCTGGACAGCAGACAGCACAAGAAACCATCTTAAACCTGGGCCAGGGCTGGGAGGGAATTCTTGCCCCGCAGTACATCACCCCACTAACTCAAATTCCCCACAAATTTCTCATCCTTGTTAAGCCATTGCCAGAATGTCCTTTATTTAAAATAAAAAATAGGCTTCTTTAATGGCTAAAAAGGTTATTAGGATTGTTTATTCTAAGCTCTGAAATATTTGTTCAATTCTTAATTTGCTTATATGTCTTCTAATTACATCAGCATTGGGATTCTGCCTTTGTAGTTGTAATTGGAAGCTGATATAAAACCAAGACTAGAAAACATTAAGCATTGCAGTGACTGGAGTTGTTTTTTGTGGCGTTTGTCATCTCACTGCTTGTTTACCAGAATGAAATTTCCAACGCAATTCTCTTTTTAACCTACAATATTAGGTGACAATATTAAACGTGTTCACTGGCAGATGATTATTTCTCTGAGACAAGGCCAAAAAAAGCCATGCCCTGCTCAAGGCATAACTCATTATGTTACATAATTCAAGGTTAGAGAGGGAGGAATAGAGAATGCTTTGGACAAGAAGGGACCTTCAGGAACATCTCATTGCACCTTCCACTATCCCAGGTTGCTCCAAGCCCCATCCAACCTGGCCTTGGACAATTCTGGAAGGCCATACAAGAATTCCTACGATGTTGGTGTCCTGGTTGTATTCAAAGGCCATGATTTCAACTTATCTTAAGATCCCTCCAAGATCAACAATAAATTCTTTTGGATTCTCATTTTCAAGTTTAAAATTGTGCTAGGAAACATTAATTACAAACTAATCTAAATGCATTATCACCCTATTGTTGATTGGCCTCAACCCTGACAAGTGAAATGTGTTCCTAGGTGCAACCAAAGGTGATTTTTGGGGTGGGGTTCAGTCTCCACAGGATTTGTGGAAGCTGCTGAATATCAAAACCGACTCAAGATACCTGAAATTTTTCTCCATTGAGATCCACAGGAACATTTTGGTAATGCCAAGGGCCATACATCATCAGAGCTCTTTATTCAAGGTGCACTTCATGCTTTGCTTGCCATATTATAATAGGAAATAACAATGGAATAATAAATGGGGAAAAATATATTTTCTGTTGTCTTTGTTTGAATTGCTCAGTGTGTGAGAGCAACACGTGTCTGATTTTTCATCTCTCCTTGAACAGCCTGAACTGACAGATTGCCCATAATCTGTTCTGCAATCTTGGTGCCAGAACATGACAATAGTCAGCCCCATGGAGCGCCTTGGGAATCTCAAAGGGAATAATTTCCCACTAACCAATAGCTGAAGGGTGACCCAGTTCGGAGAGGCCTGGGGAGAGACACATTGCTGGTGGCTCCGAGCATGTGTGGCTCCACGCAGGCACAGTTAAAAGGCAGATTAATCTGCAGTCAGGTGTGAGGAACAGAGCCAAGGAGCCCTACCGGGGACCACACGGCATCCAGCCCCTTTGGAAAGCACTTTATGAATTAACCTAGGCTGGGGTTTTTTAAACTGTGAGCATCCAAAGATTCACACCGGCGTTTCTCCAGCCTGATCTGTATTCCAAAGCAGTGCTGCTCACATAAATCTCAGTGCTGTTTTTTACTGGAGAGTGAAAGGGAGAAAACCCGCCGTTAAATCAATAGGCTGCGTTGCACACCACAGTATATGAAAGTCCTGGTGCTGTGCTTATCACTTGTGCTGCCACCAACTAATTGCTGTCCCTTGCACTTCATTATCCCCTGTAATATGGTTACAATAACAGAGGATGACAAATAAGAACTGTTATCTTCTCCAGGCCAGTCTTTCCTCGCAGGGTGAGTTCTCATTCCAATCCATCTATCTGGATGAATAAGATTTACCAGATTACACATGGACTTAAAAGGTTTAACACGAGCAGTGATGGAGAGCTGCCTTAGGAAATATTTTTACAGGCACACTTTGGGGATCTGGCACAGAAAACTCTTTACTGCTGCTTTTGTACCCACCATGGTTTCCCTTAGCTCCCCCTGCATTTAAGGCAGCGATGCTGGCAGACAGAAAACCTGGTTCTATAAAATACAAGTGTGCCTTATGTCCTCCCTGAATCAGGTCTGCCAGTCATTCACACACCAGAGAGGTGGTCTCATTCTTTTGATGTTAAATTAGATCCTGGAACTAATAAAACTGCCTACAATGATTATGAAGCAGAAACAGGCGAAGAATATTATGGATAGGAGAAAAGAGTTTGTGTCTGGCAAGAAAGGATGAAAGTATCTGATCTTTAATGGGTGGCCTAGTTAAAGGATCCTTTGTTGCAGCAATAAAGAGGAACTGTAGAAAATGTGAATGAAACCTCCAATAGCCACGTTAAGGCCACCTGGTCTCAGGTGAGGCTCAGGAAGGGAAGGGGAGCCTCCTCTGTGCCTTCCAAAATCTCTGCAGGAGATCAGTTTTTCCCATTGGATGTAAAGGATGTGCACGGTGTCAGAAGCAAGGAGAGATGGAGAA